TAGTCAAAACTTACTGAGTTATTCAAAGCTGAAATGATAAGGTCAGTCAAACTTTCACACCATATAAAACAGTGTCTATCAATTCCAGGGCTGTTCATAATATATCAGAAGTCTGAAAACGTCCTGAGACAAAGGTGAGGTGTTCTGCTGAGCTGTATGTGAGGTGATGTGGGTAAATTGTGTAATATGGCTGGTAGCTGAAGTTTGTTAATAGCACATGAAGATGTGAAATTAGGAGGAATTATTGCAGTACGTCAGATTATTTTAAGATTTTAAAAATATCTCTAGGTCTAATAGAATTATTCAGATATTCTTTGGCTTTAACACTTGGAAATTATTCAGCTTTTTCTCTAACTCCATTTTTTTTCTAGCTATATTTTTGCTACATAGGATCCTAACTTCATCCAGTTTTATCTAGGGATACACCACTGACCTTGAATAGTTGAGATTTGTTTGAAGCTGCAATCCATGGCAATAATTACAGTACCATAGTACAGTATGTATGGTTAAACTTCAACTTGCTTGTTTAAAAATTGCTCCTAATAACTTGGAGAATAGACTATTTCAGCTGAAATATCTGGTAAAATAATTGTATTGTGTAGGGCGAAGTGACTTATTTCAATTGCACTAATTTTGTATAGACTGGAAAAAGTATTTTCTAAAACAATTTCAATTAATGCTGACAGACAAACACAGCAAAAAGGCTACTGAAACTACTTAACATTTCCTCATTTCAGTAGCAAACAGCACTTGATCCAAATAATGCAGCCTGCCTGAACTGCTTATCAGAACTACGTTTGATTCTTTTTTTTTCCTGAAAAATGGAAATTTCAGTAGAATAAATACTGAACACACTTATCATTAGTTATGTGTTTATTTTTGTGGGTACCCACCATCATTTACTTTAGATTTTATGTACAGATGTGCTTGTAATACAGAGTTACAGGATGTTGACTGGCACTGCTGTACATCTCTTGCTGGAAGTTATCATTTGTGTAACTTAATCAGCAGAAGGAAAGATGTGACCATTTCCATGTGCAGCTGAAGCGAGGGTAGGATAAACAGCAGAGTTGGGTAACAGTAGGTAGCAACAGTAAAAATATTCACAGATATTTTCTCAAAACCTTTTAAGAGATGCAAATTTCTGTTACCCTAAATGGAATGTTAACTCTGAAATTAATTAGTGCTAATTTCAGTCAATTCATACTTGACTGCCCAGTGCAAGTGTTTATTTGATGCATTTTTAGAGTTTGGTATTTATAATATTCTGAAATACTTCAACTTTTCTCAGCTGGCACATCTGAATTCAGTGATATGAAAAACAGACTCTGAGATGGAATACTCATTGAAAGGGTGCTGTAAAACCACTTAGCAAGTCAGGAGTCAGACGACAAATATCATGTAAAGAAGTTAAATTAAGAAGGTGAAGGAGAGAATTTGATTTAGGTTACAAAAAAAAGTTACATTCTTACATTTAAAAAAAAAGTGATGACCTTCATGTACATGCAGACATACTATTTAAACTTCTGTCATGCAAACTTCCTAAAAACAGCCTGAGGGGGAGCTAAAATAGCCAATGACCATGACAGTTCACATAATTTATTGCAATAATCATGCATGGAAAATGCAGCCTGATCCCATGGACTGTACATTTTGTTACATTCATGAAGCAGCACAGTTCAATTGTGTTGTGCACAGATTTAGGAAAAATTTAAATCAAATATTCAATGTATTGAAATGTAGACAGTAACTTTTTATGAAAACTTTGGGAAGTTATGTGACTAATGACACATTGCAGTGATGTTTTTATAGTAATATTCTTCCGAGCAATTGGCCAATCTTTCAAAAAACAAAACAAAAAAACAAAAAACAAAAAACAAAAAAAAAAAACAAACAAACAAACAAAAAAAAGACTCAGTACAGCACAGCCCTCAATCTTATCTCAGTTTGTTTGGTGTTTTTTTTTTTTATTTCTCCCTCCCCCACCAGATGATGCTGGCTAATTGTTTAAAATATGTGCTATTATAGAAGGACAATTTAAGGAGCAATACATCATGGCAACTTGAAGTGGGAACTAAAAAAATTTTCAGCCTTTGCTTATGATATATGTCCTCTATGTAGGCAGCTGCTGAGTAATTCCATCCTTAGCAAGGTAATATTTCTATTCAGGATTTCAGAGAGTGTTGCAATGCCCAAGGTTGTTCAGGCGATGGATATTATTTCTTTACAGTTCTTCAAGAATCACTTTGAAAACGCTGACCTAGAATGCTATAATTAGGATAAGAACTACCTTGCAGGGTTTTGTTGTTGGTGTTTTTCTTTTTCTATCAGGTGATGGAGCACTGGAACAGGTTGCCCAGAGAGGCTGTGGAGTCTCCTGTCTTGGAGATGTTTGAAACCCATCTGGACATGGTTGTGGGCAACCTTCTCTTAGTGGCCCATGTTTGAGCAGGGGTTGGACCATTCTGTGATTCTATATGTTTGGGAAAAGCTGTCCTTAATGTCCTGGTATAATGAGATAGGACAGATATCAGGAGCTGATGCCAAAAGTTTTAGAGGAAACCATGAGTAGCTAGGAGTAAAGAATAGCCTCCTAAAGAACCCTAGGAATGACTGGAGGTGCATATGAAATAACTTTTAATTCTTCAGCAGCTCTTAAGAAAAAAAAAAAAAAAAAAAAAAAAAAAAAAAAGGTATAGGGAAATCCCTTTGTGAATTTGGCTTTGATCTGTATTTTGGAGTTGCAAGCAATCAGCATTCCCAGGCAGATCCTAAATCTGTGGTTTGGATTTGGTTGTTTTAATTTAGCTTCATAATTTGTTTTAATTTAGTTTGATTTACTTTGGAAAGAAAGTTCATTCGTATTTAACCGGGATGTCTGAAGATCTTCAAACTGCTCTGGATTTAATAGTTGTACATTAGTTGTTCACCCTATGATAAACAATTGTTGGAGACATAATGCAGTCTCTCAAAACTTCCACCTAAGTAATCTCATTTAGTTTGTGTTCTCTCATGCTCTATACAAAACTTGTCTGATGCACTAGACAGCAATTCTGTATGTACAGAGAGCAGAACAGAATATCCCGAGTTGGAAAGGACCCATAAGAATCAATGAGCCCAACTGCTGCTTCCACGCAGCACCACCTTAAACCCAAATCCTATGGTTGACAGCAGTGTCCAAATGCAACTGAGCTCTGGCAGCTCTGGGCTGCGCTCACTGCCATGGGGAGCCTGTGCCATGCCCACCACCTTATATTGCAGAACCTTTTCTAGCCCCCAGCATGACCCTCCCTGACACAGCTCAATGCTGTTCCTCAGGCCCTGTTGCTGTCACCAGAGAGCAGAGCTATCAGTGAGGAGCTGTAGGCCACCATGAGGCAGAACAAACCCAAAGACCTCAGCTTGATGTCAGACCCTGACATAACTCCATAGCCCTCCTTTGGACACTTGCTAATAGTTTTATGTCCTTCTCAGATTGTGGCACCCACTCTTGCACTCAATGCTCAAGGTGAGGCCACACCATGCAGAGCACAGTGGGACAGTACATGTTCTCACCCAGTGACAGTACTGTGTCTGGATCTCCCCAGGGGATGGGGGCCCTGTGGGTTCCAGAGCACTGCAAGTTTATTTACTGTGCATTCACTTGTGTCCAAATTATTTATAAAAATGTAAAAAGAAGTGGCCCTAAAACAGAGCCTAGCAGAACTCCACAATAAGTATCTATCTGCCAGCCTGATGAGATCCCACCCACTAAATCCCTTTGAACTCAACCTATCAGTCAATTAATTATTAATTGCTCACCCATCATACTGTGTACTTGTCTACCTGTGCTGGACATTTTGTCCAGAAGGACAATGTGAGAAACAATATTGATTGCTTTGTTAAAATTTAAAAAACAACAACAACAACAAAAAAAAAAAACAAAAAAACAAAAAAACAAAAAAACCCCCACCACATCTACTGGCCTTCCTATCCCATCTTCTATCAAGATGGATAACCTTATTACAAAAGACATGTGACTACCAGGATCTTCTTTCTCGCCCTTCATGGAAACTGGGACATTTGCCATCTTCCAGTCAATTGGGACCCTTCCAGATTCCTGAGGCCATTGCAAAATAATTGAAACCAGTCTTTCAGTGATAACAGCCAGCTCTTCCAGTACCCTGGGATGGATCCCATCAGCCCCCTACGGACTTAGCCGCATCCATTTGGAGCACCAAATCTCTACCACATTCAGTCAGTTGAGAGCTCATACGTGGGTATGTAGCTACCAATCAAAAAAGCAGGTGCTTTCCTTACAGTGATGTCTGCAGATTGATCACCTGCTGGATACTGCTTTTGGAGAAACCGAATAAGAGAAAGATGCATTTTTATTTTTCTGACTCATAGCCTGAATGACTGAAGGTTTCTGTACCATTTTTAAAGGAAGCATTCAGCACTGCAGGTTCTCCTTCAAATATGACAATATTCCAATAAGCATAATAAGCCCTAGTTGGCTCCCTTAGAAGAAGTATTATCCGCTGTATTTTATCAGATGTCTCCAGAGCCATTTCTTAAACATGAAAACAAAGTTTGACTTGTGGCTTCTAAAGGCCGCAGTGCAGCGGACGACAGGCGAAGAGCGGCTCTCTTCGAGGCAGAGGCTCCGCTTCCAGGCGTCCTTCGGCTGCTCGGCGGGGCGGGCCTTCCCAGGAACCCCAGCAGCGGCACACAAGGCCTGTCCGACCGAGTAGCCCGGACTCCCCCTCGCCAAAGCCCTGAGGCTCGACTCGTCCCAGGGATCCGCCCAACCCGACGCCGCTCTCGTCAGCCAGAACAAACGGGGCCGAGCACCGCGCAGCAGCCGCGCGCTCCTACGGACAGCGCACCACCGCGCACCTGCGGGCAGCGGCGGCTCCTGCGCACTCGATCGCTCGCTGGCGCGGCCCCGCCCCGCGGCACACGGGTTGGTGAGCGCTGCCGTGAGGAGCGGCGGTTGGTTGGCGCGCCCGTCAGTCCGGCGCACCCCGTCCCCTCCCTTTGATCCCCCCTTGCCGGCGCGGGCCTCGTTGTCAGTGGCGGTAAGCGGGCGGGCTGCAGCTCTCTCCTGCTGCCGGGCCGCCGATATCGAGAAGGTTCGCGGGCGTCGCCCGGGGCCGCGGGCTCTGGGACAGGTGAGACGCGGCCGGGCCCCGCGTCCTGTACGGGACGGGTGTTGCGCGGCCGGGCCCCGCGTCCTGTACGGGACGGGTGTTGCGCGGCCGGGCTGCGCCCCCTCCGTCGGAGCGCACTTTTGGGCTCGTCCCTGCCGCCGTTGTTCCCGTCCCCGCCTCGGGCGCGTGTAGCGGGCGGAGCTCTGCGGCCGCGGGCCCGGCCGGAGCCCGAGCGCCGGGGGGAAGCGCGCGGCTATCCGGCGTTCCGTAGGGGCGCGGCGCGGTCCCCGAGCAGGTGTGAGACGCGGGGTCCCGGAGCTGCCCGCCTCCGTCGCCGGGGGACCTCTCCTCTAGGAGCGTCCCCGGGCTCCACTGGAGTCGCGCTTGGGTTCGGAGGAGCCGCCGCTGTCCTCTGCGTTCCCGCCGGAGCAGCACCTCGGCGCCGGGCCGCGCACCTCCATGGCGCGTCCCGTCATTGCCGCTTTACGTTGCCGCCCCTTTTCGGCCCTTCCCTTCCAAGCACCGGGCGCAGCCGGCCTGTTGCGAGCCGTATCTACCTCGGGAGCGGCCGCTGCGCAGACGGTTTACTGACCGGTTGGGTTTCCAGGGCGTGAAAGGTGCGATGGAATGAGGTTGTTGCTTTGGGACCGGGGGTTCGGGAGGTGCTGTGCTTTTCGGGACTCAGTATCTGTTAGCTGGGTAATGCAAAGTGCAGACGTAAACCTTTTGGATTTGATTGCGCCCTCCGCTGAGTTTCGGGGCTAAATTTGAAAAACTGTTTTCACGTAGTATGAGTTATATTGTTCAAGTACTTCTAAGGAGCCTTGGTTGCCTGAGATCTGTCTGTTGTCAGATCACTTAAAGTTATTTTTTGTTCAAACTTGAGCCATGCCGCAACAGGCTGCAGGGTGTCGAGGCGTTGGCATTTGGTGGAGGAAGAGCTGCTGAGATGCTTGCCTACAGAACTGCAGCATATCCCCGTCGGTAGTTCTGTGTATGTGAAAATGGAGCCTAGTTACTCTTTCATCTTTTTTTTGAGAAAGCATTAAATCTGGATTTGTCTGTGTTGGCATCTGGAAAGATATTCCCTCCTTTAAGGACTTCTAGAGTTGGTTGTAGCAATCTGTACCTAACAGGTGCCTTTAAATTCAGATTTGTTTTTCTGTTGGGATTCTCATGTTATTCCTCAATGATTTATTGTATAATTTGTACTTCTTTGTCAGTTTTCTTTGTTTTCTATCCTGCGTGATAGCATCAGTTTAGAAGAGAAATATTAGAAAACTGTATTTTTATGAAATTGTTCACTAAACCAAGGTAAAGAAACAGAAAAAATGAAGGGGGACAATCTACTACTCACCTAGATAGTCTTCTGTATGTACTTTGCTTCTGTCCGTATAAACTTTGTTTCTAGGTCCTCAGTGCTCTTTGTAATCAATGTTGTATGTGTCTACAAAAGTGTATTTAAAAGCATTAATGGAGGAGAGCTTTAGAAAGTGGAAGAGAGTTTCAGTTGTCATGCATACAAATGTAAACAAGTTTAAAACGAGCTTGCATAGGAAGCACAGCTTTTGTCAATCTAATAGTCTAAGAAACTTATTTTAAAAAATATATTTCTGAAGTTTTTAGAAAGCTTTTTTTTTTTTTTTTTTAAAGTCCATTAGTGACCACGTCAGTTATATTTTTTGTTCTGTCATTGTTTTCTGAAGTGTCCAGTGCCAAAGGCAAACAAGAGGGCAGAGCACTGGAGCTAAAGCTCTTCTTTTTCAACGACTACAAAACATATTTCGCTTTTCTTTCAATTAAAACTTCAGTTTTCAACAACATTTGTCTGTGTAAAACTCTCATTCAACAGATTTTATCTCTTGTTTAAGCAGGGGTTGTCTGAGTTCACATGGGCCTACTGCGAACCTTGCCCATGTCCCTGGGCCTGGATGGCATCTCTTCCTTCTCTTCTATCAGCTGCATCGCTTGCTTTTCTGCTGTCAGCAAACTTGCTGATGGTGCACTTAATTCCACTATTATTATGTCTAACAAACCTAGTTCTCTCATCTTGTCCTCTTGCATCTGAACTGTCTTATTTTCTGTCATCACTGAAGGCCTAATTTTAATTTGGTCTTTAGGTCATGTTTATTCATCATAAATATTCAGTTTTCTGAGCGATACACTAGATGTGCTCTTCTATCCAAGTGAGAATGGCTTTTCAGAATGTTCTTTTATTTCAGTAAACTAAGGTTTAGTTTAACATTACTGTATTATCTTTAGGCTTATCTTATAAAATGTCATCTTCAAGTGGTGGAAAATGAGTAACAGGTTTAGGTGTTTTGTATGCTGACTCGTGTTTCCAGATGTTTAAATGTTGAATTAGAAAACCCTGCAACTGATATGTGAATGTAGACTTCATTCTTGCGCTTAGCAAAGCATAGTTGATCCTTCATCAAAGCAACAAAGACAGCACAGTTCAAATATGCTGTTTCCAATTATTTTCTTTTATGACTAACATCTTTTTATTCAATAGGCAGTCAGAAATTCAGTATCCCATCTCTTAAGTAAGAATAAGTATATTTAACTGAGAAAATAAACTCCTTTAAGTACTAAAAATCTGTATTTTTCTCATGTTTGGATAAGTGAGCTTTTTCCTATCTTGCAGAAATTTCTCCAAAATAAATATTTAGATACTTTCTGAAGGAACATGTTAAACCAAAGAAATTGAGAAGATGGAAACTTTGTGGAAGCTTTCCTAGTTCCTTTAGCAGATGGTACAAAATGTAAGGATTTTGATATATTCTACAGTTGTTTATGGCATGATTTGAGGTGAGTTAATTTTTATAGTTTTGGTGGTGGTGGTTGCTTTTTGTCACTCTTTCATGTGTGTAGTGCTGAATGTTTCTTTTGTCAACAAGCTTTTCATCAAGTCTAATAAATACCTGGATTATTTTTTTAAATGATTTTTGTTGTTTTTTTTTGTGTGTGTGAAATGTGCTTTATTGTGAACAAATATTGGTGTCAAGATGAAAAGATTACATGGGGGTCTCCTTTAGTATTCTGAATATCGATGATAATTTTCAACAATAAATTATTTTCTTCCCTGCATTTGTTTGCTGACCTGTGTGTCACGTATATCTGTTCGCGATAAACTCTGTCTGCCTAACTGGTGTCTGTACCTTCAATAGCAAATGACTTTTGACTATTAACAGTGTGAAGGTGGAGAAACAATTATTTCTGCCCAACTGAAGTGTTCTATCATGCTAGCATTTGTGGAGAGCACGGTGTTTGCAAAAACAGTTTTTTCAGATGTATCAAAATTTTATTTGGAAAGTTAGTATTTGGAGACATTCAGAGTGAAAGAAACAAATTGAATAGACTGTGTCCCCAAAAAGCAAGTAAACAAAACTGCCAGGGGTCTAACTTGGTTGGCAAAGTTGAGATGGAATGAGAGTGTGCGTTCCGTTTCTTTTTGGTTGAAATACTTCAGTGGATACTGACTCATTTGTAACTTGGCACTTCTATTCTTCTGTGATTCAGGGTATTTAGCTTAGGCACAGAGTTCTTGCTCTTGTTTATTAGAAGCTCAGATAAGTTCTGTGTGAGTGATAAGAAAAGTACTTTCAAGCAAAGGATTGTTTTCTGTGATGCTGGTACGAACTGCATGTGTTCAGTGTCATCAAGGCGAGTTACCGGAACAGTGTTTTATCAGGTTTGCTGCTGGTCTTGTTTGCTAAAAGGGCTGTTCTTAATTTGCCAATATAAAAAATAAGAATGATTGATTGTATTTTGTTCTTTGTCCATTCTGCTATGTTTAGTTAAGTCTTGAAGAAACCAAAACAAGATGGTGTTTACCGATAACCACAGCCATATCTGACTGGGAGTTTTACTGACTGTGTGAGCGAGAGATGCAGGTATTTATTTGGAGAATAATTAGTTATGAAATTCTTAATGTTGCTTCTCATCAGTGATGTCACCTTCATTTTTGAGTTTCGGAATTTGTCACGCATTAGTCAAACTAGACTGTGGAATTAGCCACCAAAGCAATTTGAAGCTGGGAGGATGTTTCCTGTAAAATCCAATGAAAATACCTTGAACACGTTTCAGAATGGAAATGTACATTTTGAAAAGAAGTGAGTTATATAATAAATATTTGCCATAATTCTGTTTTCAGGTAATTCGCAGGAATGTCATGCTTGTAAACAAGATAAAAACTACTCTATGGTCAGAGGTGTCAAGTCTGAACAATGGCCTACTGAAGATGTGTGGCAAAATGGGTTGAATGAGTGCAGAACTACTTTATTCTGTAAGTATTCATCTGTGATTGGAGTGTGTATTTTACTGTTTTTATTTGTTTGAATTATCTTTCAGTGCTCTTGTGCTGAAGGAACTTAGAGTTGTGACGGTAATTATTACAGTAATATTGCAGATGTTTATTTTTCTGTGACTGCTTTTTTGAGATTTACATGAATTTGTAGCTCTCTCAAACATATAACTTGTTGTAAGTCAGCAGACTTGTTTGAGTAGGACTGGCTTTTGTGAGAAGACTTACTTTTCCCACAGAGGAAACTGCAGCTTTATTTTGATGTGGATCATTATGGTATCAGATTCTCAGGACTGACATTTATTATTCATTCTTTGTTGAGGACGTGTATTATTTTTGTAGCAAGCATTGTTAAGCTGTTAAATATTTTTCCACTTTTTTTACCTTCAGTGTTACACAGCAGTGCTTATTCTCTTTTTTTTTTTTTTTTTCCTCCCCTCTTTCTATCTGATAATTTTCATTTGCTTACCATTTGCTAAGACTGATGGTCTTTTTTTTTTTTTTAACTCAAGTAATTATCAGTTAACCACAACAAACAGTTATTCTATGTTATAAATGTTTATTTTATTTTTTTCAGATGTCAATAGACAACCTCTGTGAGCTGCGTTTGTAAGGGTGACTCCTGCAGAATATCAACTGCATGTTGTTTGTATTAAGATAAAGCAATTTAATTCTACATAGTAATGCACCAGCTGCATTTCTGGAAGTAGCCAGAATATATGTAGGAGTGTAGTGTTCTTTCACTGTTCTGGGAAAGTGGGACCAGCAGTTCACAGTCATTCCTTATTGAGTGTCGATAGGAGGCTGAACTGGAGATTCTGATTTGAAGGCCTGCTTGGTCTGATGTATGTATTACAGTCAAGTTGCCTTCACACAGTCATCTGTGGGAATGAGTATTGCTTCCAGACTCATCAGTTTTAAGCCAGTCATTTGAGAGGCATAAGGTAGCTTTCTCTGCTGGTGTTAGCATCTATGTCTAGAGGAAGCCTAAGACAACTGGAGTGAGTAATGTTCTTGAGCATTGTCTTGGCTGATTGAAATATCACCCTCAGTGAATCTGTCAGCTTTTTTTGGTACAGATTTTGTCTGTTACACCTTGTTGGAAGCAGAACCCACACTCACTGTGACCCTATGCACTGTGACCAGTAGTAATCTCTGAATTCCTCCTGTGTGTATATCTTTTCTTGAGTTCTTTGTTTCAGGAACATCATAGTTACGATTGCCTTCTGGATCGCATTAGCTGAAATAAGTAGACATTTACACTGTCTAAGGTCTTTTTTTTTATACTTGAATGGTCCCAAAATAATGAACATCTCTATCCCTCAGTTTTGACTGAGGCACAGAAGTCTTCTCTAGATTTACATTGGTATTTCTAACAAATAAATTGTCTCTAAGGCATCTGTATGGGAACTGCTGAGTCACAGCCTGAACCTCTGATTGATCACCTGAGGTGAGCCTTGAGTCAGCCAGAGGAGCACAGTGAAGGCAATTCACCTGTGCTGCCGGAAGGGGTGGAGCCTGGCTGCACCCCTCCTAGACCTATTGAAGAGCTGGCTGCCAGAGGGGAAGGATCTCGTCTGGAGATCTCCTCTACTGGTGTTTTGTGGGTGAGCCCAGGATAGGGGTAAGCCTTCCATTTATTCTCTTTTGTTATCATAGTCTACTTTGCCTAACTCTTGTTTATTTTGTGATTATAATATCCTACTATTCTTTGATTATACAGGCATCTAATTTATTTCTTGTGCAGTGAGTTTGCTGATTCTGTTCACTTCTTGCTTCTTTCCCCCACTGAGAGAGTGAAAGTTTCTCTAATTAAACTGAGTCATCTTTGTCCATATATTCACAACAGACATCACTGAGCAGTCAAAAGTTAATTGCTCAGCAGTTTCTAGTTATCACCCTAAAGGATTCAAATCTAAAATTCTGGTTAATTCCATACAGCGATCATTGTCTTTTCCGTTGAGTGAAGAATCATCAAAGCATTTGCTTCATTTCCCTCAATTTCCTTCTCCCTGTTTTTCTTGAGAAATGAAGTTGTGATATTTTTCAGGAGTTGGAAGTGCTTGTGCCACACTGTAATCCTCGTGAATTCTGTGATTTCCATGTAGTCTTTCTGTCAGTCAGTTTATTGATGTGTACAGTTAGCTATTCCCTGATGGTTATGGGTTTTGTTTGTTGTTGTACTGTGCTTTCACACAAGCACACTTGTTACTTTGTCAGTGTTGAAGGCTCTTCAGTAGCAGAAGTTGTTTTACCAAAGTTATAAGCATTCATCGTTAGTTCACTAGAAAAAATGGGTGGGATAGAAAAGGGAATTTGTTTCATCTGTTTGTTGTTGGTGGTTTTTTTTTTTTTCTTTTCTGGTCATTACAGTTTTTTGTTGACTGCTCTGTTACTGTGAAAGTGCTGGGCTGCACTAAGAAGAACAAGGCCAGCAGGCTGTAGGATATGATCCATCTGTTCTATTCAGCACCTGGTTATATAATATCTGGAGTGCTGAGTTCAGTACTGGGCTTCCTAGTTCAAGAAAGTTATGGACATACTGGAATGAGTCCAACAAGGGGCCACGAGGATGGTTAAGGGTACTGAAACATCATTCATGTAATGAGAGACTGAAAGCTGCCTATTGTGGAAGAGAGCAGGCTCATGGGAAATGCTACCAATGTATAGAGGCACCTGATGAGAAGATGCGAAGAGGATAGAGGCAAACTTTTCAGTGCTACTCAGTGAATGGAAAAGAGAGGCAATGACCACAGAACAAAACCAGGAAATTTCATCTAAGCATGAAATTTACTTTGATAACAGTCAAGCACTGGAAGAGATTGCCCAGAAATACTGCAGGATGGTGGCAATCAAAACTCATCTGAACTTTCTTGAGCAGATGGATCGAACAGTTTCAGCCTCTGATTCTGTGAAAAGATGGGTGTTATGTTATGGATGCTACAGAGTCTCTGAGAGGCAGTAGGATTTCTGAATTAACTTTCTGCTGGTGAAGCAGTGAACAAACATGACAACAGTTGTGGTAAATAACTCTTAATGCTAACTAGGGAATATTTATCCATTTCTTTGTGGATGTCTTGATTACTGGAGTATAGATTACCATTACTGCTTTGCCTGATCAAGTTAGTAGTTTCTACGCTTTACAAATCTCTTTCAAAATGATTGCGCTTTCAGTCAAAACAATACTGCAATATTAACTCTTATGATGTTAGTTTCGATTGTTGGAAAATGTGAGCAATTAAAGTGTTGTCCAGTCCTGGGTACATTAACTGGGACAAAGCATGGTTAAGCGCTGCCTAGCATTGTCCTTTTACTGATTTCGCATCGATCAAGTTATGACACTTTTTCTCCATTTTTCCAAAGAACTCTAAAAAATAGATTTTCTGAGTAATTGTGTATAAGAGAAGAACCTAAAAGTACTCATTTCCATTTTAAATTCTTAAGAATATGCATTTGTCTTTAGTAGACTTTCTGAGTTGTGATTGTACACTAAAACAAAAAAAAAAAGACAACATTTTGAAAATAGGCCTTTTAGTAAGGTAAGAATCACTGCTGCCTAATGGAACATTGCAAGCACTGAAGCGTTCTAAAACAAATCAGTTTTGGAGAGGATAAGTCTGTTTTATGGTTGACACAGAATGAGACATTGTAAGTAGTCACAAAGAATGCTGTTTTCTTTTTTCGCAGGGGGGTGGGAAGAGGGGGTACGGGGTGTGGGAGTAGCTTGGAGTTGTTTTCTTAATTTAAGAAATGCAACTTCTTGTTTCCAATGGGAGCAGAACATGTGAGAGACTCCTGCTGTCTTCTAACATTTCAACACAAAACCATCTTATTATTTATAGAGCACTTGGAAACTGCAAAGGCTGTTCTGCTTTTGTGGCAAATACTGCAACTACCAGTCCTTGCTCTAATATAGTGTTTACTGCTTCACAGTATGTTAATGCTGGTTAGTGTCGCAGGCTAGATGTTAACTAGTTTTGTTAGGAAATTTAAGCATAATGCTATGTTTAACTAGAAATTACTGCTTGAGAGTTTTTCAGTGACAATGAAAAGGGTTTTATAGAGCATGTCGTAAAAACAAACTGAGCTTTGAATATTGTTTCTAACCTACTGTTAGATATAATTTAAATCAATTGTGTACATTCATAAAACCCAAGTAGTTTGGGACCTGGATTTTGAGGTTGTTTCTTAAAACTCACTACAGCAGCTACTGACATTTGGAGTATTTGTCCTTCTTTCTTCATGATAGAACTGAAAGTACGCATGCACCAGAGAAGTGGAAATAGGAGAAATCAAATAATTTTAGTAGGAGAAATCTGTCTCTTCATGAGTTAGACTTGATTCTTTGGCAACTTTCATCAGTTGATGCTTTTCAGTTTGCTTGCTTAGGGAAAGTGCATGTTACTGAAAACTGTTCATTTACCTTTCAGTTTGCAGTTTCCTCAGAGACAGGATTAACACACAGTTAATCCAGAGAAAGTTAAAAATGTTTATATGTTTTTGTTTGTTTTGTTTCCTATTTCAATTTGTTGTAGATTGACAAGGCTAATGAGATGCAATTTTTTTGTTAATCCTGCTCACTCTTTGTATTTGTGCTGGAAGTATAACAGTGAATGCTTTAAATTCCTGTACTGAACTTTGGAATACTGTTTTTCTTCTAAGGACATAGCTTCGCAGACCAGCATGGGATTTCTTATGTTTAATTTCCACTAGGTTTTCATTGTTTATCCTTAACTATAATCCTCAGAAAAGAATGTGCATGAAACTACTAGCTTGTTCGTGACCTGTTTTATCTATAGGTGGTACTGTTGCCTAAAGTACCGTGGAACTTATTTTAGGAACTTCTTGGTGAAATGGGTATGAAATACTCACACAAGACAATTGTTCCTTAAAAGGATTTTAGTCACATAAGTGTAAAGGCTCTTTAAATCTTGTATAGCCTAATTACTTTTTTTTCTTAACTGTTAGTAGGCAGTTATTCTTTCTATTTGTTTTGAATACATCAGAGTTTTTGTCTTGTACAAAATGGCCAAAAATATTCAGTGCTGAATTATTTCAGGACAAGAGCTTGTTCATATAAAACATTGTGACTAGACAATTCAACTGTCTAGATGCTCTTAGGTATGTTTATGTATACATTGTATGTCATGAAAGAATAGTGTATAAAATGATGCTCTTTTCCAAAGGAAGAAGTTGACCACTTCTGCCTTTATAATTGGAAACACGATCCTTTTCCTTTCCGCTTTGTAAAAAACACGTGGGAAGGAATGAGAAGTGGAGTTTGAGAATTGGGATGTGACTGGATGGAGGCACTTGGGAAAATAAAGATAGGATCTGGTGTCTGAAAGTACTAAACTCTTCAGAGGCAATTCTGTCAGTCAGGAGTAAAGGGATTTTACAGTGCTGTTGCTCAGTGCTCCTGAAATTTGCGCATTACTTTTTTCCAGGTTAGAGGGTATCCTGTTATTGCATTCAGTAGTTGCTTTTTGAAAAAAATTGAGGAAATTCTCCTTTGAAAGTGCTTCTGAGTTGGTGTTCTCTGTCACTACAATGACAAAGCAGCTGTAAATTGTTCAGATTCAGAATAATCTTGAGAATTCATTTTTATTTTTAAGACAATGACGGTAAGCAAAAGAAATTTCAAGACAAACAAAGCTGCACAACTACTTAGAAGTGGAGAAGCAGCAAAACATGGTTCTAGATTACCTTGGTGTTAATTCCCTTTCAATTTGTATTTATTAAAAATGCAAAACAGTGGGGTTCTTTTACCTCTTTCGAGCCTCTAGGCTGCAGCTGTATATGGTGTAAGTGGTGATATATGTTTCACATCAGTGGCTGAAGGCAAGCACGGGGGTGCAATTATAACCACATTCTTGTTTCATCCTGTTTTCTTAATACCGTCCCACTTTCCTCTTCAAATACACTAACTGTACTAACATATTTTCATTTGCACTCTACGCCTACAGCATCTGAATATGATTTTGTTCATGGTTCATGAAGTAAAGAAACATTCTAATGTTGAACATCTGCAGGAATAGTTGTGGAATGAAGAAACAGGAAAATGAGTGCAGTGATCATAAACCAAAGCTGAACGTAGAGCTCAGCACAGCTTATTGTAAAGGCGTCCTTAGGTTGTGACAGCTGCCTAAAAAAATGGTGAAAGTGGAATAACATTTTTTTTTTTAAATCTTGATGGAGATAAATCTTGAAAACAACATCCTTTCAGTGTTACTCATTCACTTGCCTTGGTCAATGAAAGCTAATCGTTCTGATGTTTGGTACCATTTTATTTTTTTAATAAACCAATCTGTTAAATTCCAGGTATTTCAACCAAGTTTATCAGTGTTCATACAGGGCCCTAGCGTTTTTCAATTGTCTTCACTGAACAGGTAAGCAGCTAATTTGACCATAGGAAAAAACTGTTAGCTCTTGGTAATATACTAAAGTATGTTTTTTGTTTTTTTTTTTTTTTAAAGGCATGGTATACTTATTTCATGATTCAGAGATACTAGGAAAACCATAATGAATTTAAAAAGGTAGTAAGTAAGGTTTGAAATTGGCGAAGACATTTGTAGTTTAGAGCACAGAATGGCTCTACTAGGTCTGATCAGATGTCTGTATATCCTGGTATTCTTTCCTCTGTCAAGAAAACTAATGAGGAATGATCACTAGTGCTTGTTTAGATTATTACCCTCATATTTTTTAAGATGTTTTCCTGAATGCTCTGCTAGCATTCAGAATTTATGACATGGGAACTTTGTTGAACAGAGCTGATATCTGTGCTTCAGAGTTCTTCACGACTTTTTTTGCATAATGAATTTGTGGTCCTTGTCAAATAAATACGTATCACTAAAAATGTAAAATTAACTCCATAGAGTCCCACTTTGGTGCCACAGAGACAAAATTTGACAAATGTGGGTAGAATAGTGGTGTACTTGCTTTAGAGATTACTCTTGTAGGGGTTTTTGTTTTGATTTTATCTTTTCAATTTTACTTGATTACTACATGGGGAATAAATGCTTATGTTAAATGTATTTGTTAAGTTGGCAACAGAGAACCAGCAACCTCTGTTTGGTGTGTGTATTTGCATCCTGATTCATCCATTTTTGTTTGCTACCGGCAAAAATGTCAGTGCTTTTGGTCTCATGTATTAAAGCACTTTTGTCTCTCCTGTAATGAATATTAAAATTATCAGTAAAACTGACCTTGGGCAGCTTACAAGATCACATGCAGGATTTTCTCTTCCCCAGTGATAGCGTTTTTTAGTCCCTGCACACTGGAAAGCCTATTCAAGAATCTGGAGAAAGAAGAGATGAGAGTTTTTATGGCCATGCTGTAGGTGCCACATTTGAAAGAAATTCCATGATTAAAAAATTGCTTTCCACTTGAGTATCTCTAAGGGTTTTTAGCAGGAACAATTCCAGACCCAAAAATAATTTGCAATCTCTTACTGCTCAGAGCACAAATTTGTTTGTATGTGAGATGAAGGAAACTGTTTCTTGACCAGTTTGAGATGATTCTAGCATCGTTTTCAATAGAGATACTGATTAATTTCACATGTCTGTGAGATTATGTGAAGGGTTGCTGCTGTTTGTCCTGTAAGACTTTGTGGGGTGTTAAGTGAAGTGAAAATATCACCTTTCCTAAATAAGCTAAAATAGAAGGTGTTTTTTATTTTGAATTAGAAATGCTGTAGTCAGGTTCTATGGTTGTTTGTTTGTTTTCTTGTTTTTTTGTTTTTTTTTTTTTTTTAATGTAGATTTGAAAATAAAGTTGCTCAGGATTTCTTTTATTTCCTTAAAATTTTACCCATTTTACTTCCATAAAATTTTGAATAAAATGAATGCTTTTGTATGTGGAAGCACAAGTTGTTGTATTTGTATAATTGATTTTATTTTGAAAATTTTTGTGGGGTTATTATGACAATCCTTGTATCCTTGAATTCCTGTAGTTGAATTAGCTGTTGTTTCAGTTGTGCCTGTTTGTATAGAACTTGTTTCTTCTGGTTGAGAGAGTTTGATAACTGATGATTTGCATCTACCTCTGTCCATGTGATACTTATCCTTTAAAGCGTGATTACTAAAATACATGCAAGGAAAGATTTTATGATTTTTTTTTTTTTTTTTTTTTTTACAGATTTTATGATATAAGGAAGATGATTCTTGGCTGAATTCTTAGGAATACAGTGTCTTGTATTTGTACTTAAAGATTTGGTGGTTCTTTTGTGTAAGAGTATTACTGTTGTGCTCAACATCTGTAAAGCCAGTGCTGCAATACATTAGTGGGTTTTCTTGTTGCTTGGTTTTTGGGTTGTTTTTTTTTTTTTTTTTTTTTTTCATTTTTCATTTGACTTTTTGTGTTTCTGCAGCAGTATAGCTGGAATGAAGTATTTCAACCAACTAGACAGAGGTAGTGTCTTTGTTGTATCACTTACTTGAGGTGTTTTTGGCCATTCTGTCTCTGGATTCTGGAGGAAGCTTAATGTGGTATATTATGTGTGTGAAGTCCCAGGCCAATTTGGAATTGCATCTCTGCTTGAAGACCATTTGAAAATTTTTCCTTGAGACCGTGCTGGATTATCCAGAATCCCTGAGATTCTCCCTTCCTACAGCGGAGAGTGATGTTGGCTGGTTCTCTGCTCTGGAAAATATCTACTCTTTGTGACTTGACGTAAAATCCTTTCAGACACACTTGTGTGAACAGCTAATCTAACTAATTTAACTTCTGTCTTACAAAGATACAGTCAGATTTCAATTACCATTTATAAGAGTAATTAATGCACTCAGAAGTGATGAGCAGAGAATCGTGAGGAAAAACACCATTTCTTCAGTCAGTTGTTTCAGTTTCTTGTCTGTAAACGTGTTCTGTTATCCTGCAGTTTCTGGATGAATGAATGTAGTTTTCACATAAAATCTAATTCAACTTAAATGCCAACCCTTTTATTTTTTTAAAGCAAACAAACAGAACACTTACTGAGTTAATTGAAAGTGGAGATAAAGACTTGGCAGAGCTCTAATGATACTTGCTTACAGTCTTTTAGAGCTGGTACCTGAAAGGCAAAAAAGGATCTAGCCTTTACAATTATATTATTTCTAAAATGGTCTTCACAGGGAAAAGAACAGTGAAATTTCTTGTGTTTATTTTCATGAATGCATTTGCTTTACAGGAATTCTGTTTTTGTCATGTATTTCCAGTGCTGGTGGAGCTGAAAATTGTTGCTTCTTGGTGCGAGCATGTATAAAAGGAATGACTTCATGGCCAATGTGATGGTCGCCTCTGCCACTCCAGAGGTACAGTTCACTGTTATTTTTTGTTTTGTTTTGATTTTTGTTTTAATTGTATTGTTTCATCTCCATTATCAAAACGAAAGGTTTGGTTTGTTTCAAAACTCAGAGAAGCCCTTTTACACTGTAGGTCATGTCAGTTGTGTTTCTTACCAATGGTGTAAAATCCCTGGTGGTGTTCAAGAGGCATCTGGATGAGCTGCTGCAAGATAGTAGCGTTAGTAGCTTAGTGGGTAGTAATGATGGTAGAGGAGGATGGTTGGCCTAGATGATTATGTAGGTGCTTTCCAACCATGTGATTCTGTGATTCGTTGATTCTGTGATAAATATTTGACAAGATGGTAATTTAAGCTCCATGGTTCTGAGCCTATTCTTTTGTTGTTGTTGTTGATAATGACAATAACTGATTTAGATTAGTTTTAAATAGTATTTTTGACCAGTTACTGCATAATGTACATTTCTGAAAATGCCAGTATTTGTTAACAAGAACAATGTAGCAGACCACCCAGATAGAGCCAGTCAGATATATTCCATCTAGTTGGTTTTCTTTTTTTGGGGAAATTTACTAGTCTAGTAGTAGTCTGTAAGATGGTGTTCATTTTAATCCTCTGTATCCTTTGAAAACCAGGCAACAAAGTGATCTATTTGATCTGTGTACAGATGGTAGGCTGTGTTTGTTAGTCCAAGACAGCCAACTGAATACTGCTTAGAAATTAGCTATCCCACTGAATTTTTCTTTTTTTACCCAGTAAAGCACATTTTAAATGTATGATTGCAATTACATTTGCTTTTTGAATCAGGTAATGTTTTGATGACATTCTTCTCTACTTGAGAAATTCTACTTCTTGTTCCCTTAAGAAACCTAAAAACTGTGTGAAGCAACTTTTTCCATAGTAGCACCTTCTGTGCACAAAATTTGATCCTGTCAAAGTGGTTCTCCTGATTTTCATGATGTGAATCAGTTGTTTCAGTAGTGAACTTCAAAAGCTATTTAACAAATCAAAAATACATGACACAGCTGTGGCCTGCAGTTTTTTCTCAAATATGATATAAATGCCTTCTTCTCTCAAGATGGGAATAGTTTCAAACTGGATGTGTAAACACAATTCTGGTTTCCACTTAAATTCCTGTTTAAAATGGTGCGAAGAAGCCATTTCTCAGGACAGAAATATCTGTGATAGCTCAGAGCGTAAGTAGTCTCCATGGTCAAACCAAAGATTCTTCTTATCCATTATTCTGCTTTTGAAAGTGACCAACTGCAAGTGCATGAAGAGGGGCATAGGGGCAGAACAAGCACATAGGAAACATCCCCCCACTGCCATATGTTTGCACCCTAAGGGTTTCCTGAGGAGAATGTTCTGGTTAGTACTACCAGAAATCAATCTTGTCCTGTCTTTGAATCAGAGTAATCTTTTGACTTGCACAAAATCCCGTAACAGGGTGTTCGTCAGCTTCACTGTGTGTTTTGTGGAGTCTGAACTTCAGTTACATTTCAGAACATGTCAGTTTTCCTTTTTTTCTTTTTTCCTTCCCTTCTTTGTGTGCATGATTCAAATCTGCCTATTATTCCTACTCTTTGCTTGGCATATTTAATTGAAACATTTCCTCTGAATATGAATTTTCAATATCCCAAGTTTGCCTTTATGTAACAGCACTTTTGTCTGTATTTCAGACACAGCTTTCAAAAGCTGGAAAATCGATACAGGTAGAATTATATGTTGCTTAAGTTCTTACAGAAGGAAGATTTCTGAAATAAACTGGCAGCATTCACAAACCACACGAATTTAAAGATTCATACTTTTAAATTATTTAGAAGTCCATGCTTTTTTGAATAATTTCTTGATTTATTTTTTTAACCAGTCTGCAGATAAGTGTACTTTTTTTTTCTTTTTTCTTTGTAGGGTAGTAGCAGCTCAGATTCTCTGGAAGGCCGAAGTTCAGATTATGCCAATAAGAGTTATGATGCTGTTGTATTTGATGTATTAAAAGTAACTCCTGAGGAGTTTGCTGTAAGTAGAAATATTTATTTTTGCATTTATGCATGTATACTTTTTGCGGCTTGCAGCATATAATAAACAAATCTATTATATGAACTATGTTTCAGAGTCTAATATTTCAGTGCTGAATTGACATAGTATATTTGCTTTCTACTTAAAGCTATTTGATTTTTTTCCCAGTGTTTCAGAAAACAGTACGCTTGATAATGATAGTGCTAGGTATGTGTAGTTCCGTTGGTTTTTGTTAGCTTGTTTGTTTGTTTTAATTGAAACCACAAATACTCATATTTTCCAGTGAAACATCAGTTTCTCAGAAAAATCTGCTTCTTAAAAACAGTAATGAAACTTCGTAGTCATTAATGCTAAGTTTTCAGTACTAAACAGAAAGCAGAGCTGCTGATTTGGTGTGAGTCTATGTAGTTTTCATGGTTTGTCTCTTACTGTTGTAATTTACATGTTACCCTTTCTGGCTCCCCAGCAAGTTGAGGATGACAGTAATTGAACCTAGTTCAGTGTTTCTGTGAATATTCTGATCATCAAAACTGTGTTCCATTCACTTGTCTTAAAATCATACCTGTAATGCCACCTTCACAAAAAAGATGTGGGGCTGTTAAAGCCAGGTTGGATGAGGCCCTGGGCAGCCTGGTCTAGAATTACATGTGGAGGTTGATGACCCTGCCTGGCAGTGGGGGTGGAGCTTGATGATGCCTGAGGTTCCTTCCGATCCAAGCTATTCTAGTATTCTATGATGATATGGCTACATTACTCCTGTACGTTTGTCAGTTTGGAAAAAAATTGTGTTGAATCTTTTTTCAAACACTAATCCAGAATATGCAGGTGAAAACTGTTGTTAGGTAGAAATGTAAAAGTACTTGGATGGCAAATCTGCATCGACTCAGCTTGAAACAGAAATGGCCTGCCATTTTGGCTCCTTTTTGGCAAAGTTTTACAATTTTGTGTAAAACCAGAAAAATAACGTTCACTAAAAATAAGTTGACTAATCTTATCAGAGGAGACAATATGAAGTCTGAAGATAGCTCAGAACACTGTATGTACTCAACACAAGCAAAATGCATTTGTAGTGATTTCTAAAATGTATTTATAAAATTATCTGTTTCATTTAAGGTTGCATGTAATTCATAACTCTGCAGTTTTTGTTATGTTCAAAATTTTTACTGCTGTTAGTTTGAGACAGAAGCTTGTTGGCGAAGGTCTTTATTTAATGGTACACTTTCAGAACACACGCGTATGTTATGTCATTTAAGACATCTTTTAGCTCCAAAGTCCAAACATTTCTAATCCTTTTTTCTTTCTCTAGTTCTAATGGTAATCAAAAGCCATGGTAACTTTCCCTTTACGTTATGATGATTATGGTTATCAGCCATGACCAAGAAGCCTGCTGATAAAGCTGTTTGTTTCTTTGTAGTTGTTAGTGTTGATTTCAGTATGATCTTGCAGTCTTTTAACATGAAAATTTCCTTAGCCTGAGAAGTTGTTGTTCTTGTCCCAGGTTAAAAACTTTTCATGATTTACCTGATCTTTTCTTTTAGTGACAGCTAAGAGTGGTCAGCTAGGAATTTGTAGCAACATCTTTGTTAAAAATAAATAACAATTTATGGAAGTTTTTTCTCATTAGGCTCATGTCTAAGGATTTATACTAATAGTAGAAACTTTTAATATCTGAATTAAATGGAAAGTTACCATTCTTAATTGGTGTAATCGGTTGAGCATTCTGAGAGTTGGTTTGGAAGTTATTGCATTGTTTTAGAGAAACAGAGCAGCTGACAAAGAAGCTTTCCTGGGGAAAGATCCAAAGAAGCATTCATTGGAGACACTCTTCTAAATATTGAATCATGGGAATTACAAAGTTAAAAGCACAGTAAGTTTAGATACTTACAGTACAATTGACAAACCTATTGTTCAAATATATTTTACAGGATTTCAATGTATGCAGTGTAATTAGGGAACAACAGAAGTTTCTGATAGCCAGGATGCTGAGCGGTCTGCAAGTACTTTTAAAAAAAATTGTTGGCTTCGTAACGGCATTATGATGTCTTATCAGGAGGCACTCATCAGTAATTAAAATGCGTGAGCTCTTTAAAGCATGTTCCAGTTATATCTAGTTAATATCACAGTGCATTATTGCATTTCAAGACAGCGATAGTCTGCTTTCTGTGTGACGGGCAAATAATTTTTCCTGCTATTTCTGTTACGTCAGTAAGTGCACAAACCGTTTAGACTCTGAGAAACCTAGATTTAGCTCTTGCTACATGTACTGAAAGCCATCACCTAGTTGCAGCAATTAAATGTAAAAGCGCGAAACGACTTGTTTCCACTCAGGTGGCATTCTTGTGGTATGACAGTCTCTGTGGGGTGGCCTAATTCTGGGCTGATCATTTCTGGTCTGTGGAGAAAATACTACTGTATGTTTGAAGGGCCATATCAAGCATATGTAAACATGTAATTGTTAACTCTTCATATAGGATAAATTAAAATTCTATCTTTATTGCAGAGCCAAATTACATTAATGGATATACCAGTATTTAAAGCTATACAGCCTGAGGTAGGTTTTTTTATCTGTTTACATCTTTGGGTGCTGTGGAAATGTAACCATTTATGTAAATCTTTTTCATTTTGAAACACTCAACTTCTTGCACTCTGCTAGCACTGTATCTAATATCTAATAATCCAGCCTGGTTTACTTTGATTTGTCATCTGTCTTCAAAGGAGACAGCTATGCTTTTTTACAAGCCCTACTATATGTGGATGTTTATTTAAAAGAAAAAGTCTAAATGGACTACTCTCCTTTTCGAATTTGTCAGTTCATGTTTCACCTGTGGCTTAAACCTGAAGGCTTAAATGGTGAAAGATAGAGATTGGAAATATGTTAGAACTTGAAATGCTTTTTCTGGTGCTCGTGCAGTAACATGTAACCATCTGTATCTGGACAGGTCACTCAGTGCGTACGAAGTAGTTTTTGGAGATGGAGTGTTTGTTGACTCTCTGCCTTTTGGTGTGGAGGCCTCTAAATTAATAGCACATGTTTGGAAAGTTGAGTAACTGTGATTTAAACTGAAATTTGTGACTCCAAAAACAAAAGAAATCGTTTAGATCCGGTGTTAGGCAGAACTCATCTTACAGTATGTACATATAGATGCTTGTCAGATCTGTGTTAAGACTGTATAGGTAGATATGTGGTAACTTGAGTCCATAGTTAAAAAGAGGCAGACTCTCTAAGTATATCTGAAATTGCCAGAAGTAACTACAGGAAAATTAACACTTTCTGGCAAAATCTAATATATAGTTATCACTACAAGTTTCTTCCGATGCATAATAGTTTATTGAGAAAATCATTCCTTGTATTGTTTTTTAGATCTTCTGTTAACTTTATACTTCTAAGAAGAATTTCGGCAATCTGTTTAGCTATTTCAGGGTATATTTTGCTGTACAGCAATTGATTTTTTTCTTTCTATTTTGAACTTGGGTTGACTTTGAATTAATCTCTGTGATAAATGAGCATTTAAAAATGCTTCTTTGACTGCAATTAAACTATGTGCCATGCTGGCAATCTCTTGCTTTATTAGCACCAAAGTACTATTTTTAAGTGCTTACCACACTTCAGTCGAGTCTGGCTAAACTCTTTTGTCTTAAAACACCAAAAAAGCAAGGGGAAAAAAAAAAAAAAAAGACAAAAAAATAAATAAAAAAAAAAAAACCAAAACCAAAACACCTATAATCCAAACCTTTAAAGACTGTTACTTGTGCAGCATTCAAATTATGGATTCTTTGGGTCTGAATATCACTTACAGAGATTTCATTATTCATCTTTTATTTTGTAACAGTTGTAAACATTACTATTACAGTTGCAGATTTTGTGTTCTTTAAATGGTTTAGATTGTCATATTTTAATAAAACAAATTAGAGAGTGAGCATGCTAAACTGTGATATATTCATGAAAGTTTTACTAACTGTAGTAATGAGGATGACAATCGGGAATAGTAGCTGTTAACCATCTCATGTTGCACAATTCTACTGTCTCTCTAAAAAAAACCAAAACCAAAACAACAACATAATTCTTCAATTCTTCAATAATAATATTGCTTACTGATATGTTTAGCCGTAATTTCCAGTTTGAAGTAATTAAAATTAGAAATTAACGATGTCTTTTACTCCTTTGTCCCCTGATTATCTTCTATGGGGTAACCCTGGGCTAAATCAAGTGCAGAATTAAATTTCAGAAACAACAGTTATGACTACCTGCTTAGTGTCCCTTTATATGAATATTAATAATTATGTTTTTTCTCGGTAGCAGGAGTACATATGAATCGTTTCAAGTATGTCTATCAGGAAAAGACAGAAGTGTTTGGTTAGGCTAGTTTTCATGAGTGATGCCTTGGATTGGTTTCAGCAGTACATAATAGATCTCGTGTCAGTTTTCTATGCTTCTTAACATTTTCAAACATTACTTACTTTGAGCGCTTTTTGTTTCCTAGGAACTAGCCAGCTGTGGGTGGAATAAGAAAGAAAAGCATATCCTTGCTCCAAATATTGTTGCCTTCACTAGGAGGTTTAACCAGGTAAATAACTTGGTGAATGTGATAAAGTACTGTTTGCCACCTGTCTTTAAGTACAAAGAGAAATAGATCTACTTCTATAAATTAAAAATGTAAGAATATTTTTATAAATCAAGATTAAGATTTTTGAATGACAGTTCTCAGTTACACTGTCTATATTTCCGTTGTTCCTGTAGACTTGGTTCCTAATTATTTTTGTCCATGTGTTGTAAAATATTAGCAATTCTTTTCCTTCTTTTTCTGTAGTTTACCAATTCCTTTAGCGTCACTTCACTTATCTACCTACTTATTATGTCCAATGGTCATGCTTTTGGGTAATACGTAGATGAGAGCTCTTTTTATCCTACCATGTTTTCTTCATAGAGCCTCAAGGTAGTTTACAAATGTCTTAGGCAGTAAAGTCCTGTACTGTAAATAAATTCAGTTGTATGTGTTTATAGGTCAGTTTCTGGGTTGTACGAGAAATATTAACAGCACAGACATTAAAAATAAGGGCAGAAATACTGAGCCATTTTGTGAAAACTGCTAAAGTAAGTGCATGTTTATTGTACTATGATCTGAAATTTTATTTGTGACCCTGTCATAATTAATATGATCAAAATCTTTGGTTGACGTTTTTGGCCTGCTTAAGTATTTAATTTCCAGAAGTATACTGATACATTAATGTTCACTTTCAAGAACAATAAACCAAGTAATTATTTTGTATTTCATATTTTCCTGTAACTTGGTGTCGCTTCATCTCTCTGCCTTCTTCTTATGTCCACTGGCTTTTGGTAATATACTGACAGGAACTTTTAAATTTTCCTACCATGTTTTCTTCATGGAGCATCATGAGAATCATACATACAAATTAGATGAAGTTATTGTTTTGGGAGATATATTTGAAAAAATATAACTTTTAAAGAAGTCTTTAGATTTCCATACATTGATAACATTGCATGACTTTTTTGTTTGTTCAAAGACATTGATGAAAACTCTATTTTATAAAGGCAACTTTGAGATTAAATTAATCCTGCTTTGCTTTTGTACATACTAAAATTTATTACTTTCCATTCTTTCTTTTTCTATAACAGAAGCTTCTAGAGCTGAATAATCTCCATTCTCTTATGTCTGTGGTGTCAGCACTGCAAAGTGCACCCATCTTCAGACTGACCAAAACCTGGGCTGTGAGTTATCCCTTGACGGTTGTCTTTTCTTTCTTGTTTGAATGCTGAATTTTTCTGAATTCTATGAATTATTTTGTGCTCTGGGAGAAGACATTCAATGTTCTTAATCTTCTGGGTTTGTGGCAAGTTTGTTTTTAGTTTGTTTGAAAGCAGCGCTGCCTTATGTGGATTTCTGTTCTGTACCTCTGTGTTGCTTTGTTAACTGTGTTAGTTACTTAACTGTGTGGCCTGTGTTGTTCCAAAATTGCAGAAGTCCTCAGGGCTTCTGCCAATAGTGTTGTACAGCAGCAAGTGCATGTACACTGTAGTGTGACAATTCTCCATTCATTCTAACACAGTTGACTTTTAAAGTATCTTAAAAATACTGCTGGCAAATATAAAAACAAATGAAATTGAGAATGTGTTTTTATAGCTACAATTGTATATGTTATGTTTATGGTTTAATCTTTTGTTGCATTAGTATACTTTGCATTACTGCATAGTTTTCAAATTGGCTGTAGTAAGTCCAGTAATATAAAACAGAAGTGTAAGCATCATGGTAATTTACTTTTCTTACCGTTTTTTTTTTTCTTCAGAAAATGTTATTGTACTTCTAATATGACTCTGAAATGGCACTACTTGTTGCTGTTTTTATTAAAAAAAAAAAAAAAAAATTCAAAATATTTTTAGCAATTCTAATAAACTAAGAAAATTTTGAAGACTGTAAATAATGTACATTTTTCCTCTAAAATTTTACTACTGCTGAGATGATTCAAAACTCCATAGTAGTGATGTATATATTATTGATAATAATGAGAAATAATAATGGTATTTTTCATAGTTTAAAATTTAAGATTAGTTTTTTTAATAAGCAGCAACACTTTTTCAAACATGCTACTGTGGGTGATAATTGAATTTTAATATGACTGTATTGTGGGTTATTCAGTATTTGTCTTTGTACAGATTCTTTGTTTTAAATCTGCATGATCTTCATATTTTTTCTATGTAGCTTTTGAATCGCAAAGATAAGGCCACTTTTGAGAAGTTAGACTACTTACTTTCTAAAGAAGACAATTATAAAAGAACACGAGAGTACATCAGAAGCTTAAAAATGGTTCCAAGTATTCCATATTTAGGTGAGTGTGAAAATTTAGGTTGCTTATTTGTAGCTCATTTTCTAAAAAATCAATGTACAGTGCTATTTACGTGAAGGATACTGCATATAGTTGGTACCCCTTCCTTCATTTCATGAGATTTTGTGAGACCTGATGGAGTTTTTAAACTATATTCTGACTTACTGTGTGCATTACCAATGTCTGGAACTCTAAATATGTCTTTGTTTAAATGTGCATTTGAGGTCATCAGAATATACAAGAGCACTGTTTCAGAAATGCCTTCTGAGTACAACGTGATCTAATACCTCATTCATGTAGCTTTTTATTTTTTGCTGGGCTATTTTCTTTTAGATACACTGCAATTTGGTACCTCTAAGTTGTAGTTGCTTCGTGTCAGTTTCTTGTAAATATGTTGAAATGGGGAGCAAACTGCAGTGCAAGTTTACATGATTGACTTGTTTTTTTCAGTAACTCCTTTTTTGTCTTCATGTAGACATTACTTCCCTTACTGCTCTTTTGACTTGCAGTTCTTGCATAGTACTGAAGTGTGCCAGCATTCTTGTAGAGCACTCCAAAAGTATGGATTCCTGTTAAACAAAGCCATTCTTTGTGCTGGAATGTCTTCAAACTGCTGTTGTGCTTTATTTTGTTTGTTTCTGAAGAAATAAATCAATCTCTGAAATACTTAATCTTGTATTCTGAAAGCAATTATGTATTGTAACTGAAACAGTAAGATTATTTACTGTAATTATTTTCTAGCCCAAGAAAAGACAAATACAATGCTTTTTTTGCAGAAGTGTGCATATAAAAAGCTGAATATTGCAGCCTTCCAGTACTTAAAGGGAGATTATAAACAGGAGGGAGACCAACTTCTACATGGCCAGATAGTGGTGGGACTTTAAGAGAGGGAAGATTTAATTACATATTAAGTGAAAATCTTTTACTGGGAGGATGGAACAAGCTGCCTGGAGTTGTGGATGCCCTGTTCGTGGAGGTGCCCAACACTAGGCTGGATGAGACCCTTGGCAGCCTGATCTGATGGGTGGCACCCACGCCACAGCAGGAGTGGGGTGCTAAAAGAATTGGATGTTTTTTTAAAATTTATTATTTTGGTATTAGATCCAAATCACACTTCTATTTTTTCACCTCTACTATCAAGAAGTGTACATTATCTCTTTGATCAAGAAAGTGTGCAAATAATATTTTAAAATAACACCTTCAACAAACCGAGATGTTCTGTCATTTGCATAACTTGCAAATTTGGAAAAATGTGTCCAGTTTGCATTATTATTATTCTTATGAATTCATCTGAGAGTGCTGTTATAAGAGCTGAAAGTGCTGGGGGGAGAGTGAAGTTTCTTTAGCTAGACAATTCTTTAAAAGACTTTTTCTTCCTCATATTCTTTTCCAGGGAGGAAAAGTGTAGCATAGCTAAGTGCTATTTTAGAACTTAGCTTGCCAAAGTTTATTTCTTTTTCTCAGACTTTGTATCTCCAAAGTTAAATCACACCTTCCCACACTGACTTCTATGTTTTATCTAGACAAAACTCTAGGCTTAATTGCTCAGATTTTAAGTGACGTGGTTAGGGAATATGGTCATTTTAACAGAAGACTGTTAGCCTAGACATAGGTTTAAAGCTTGTCTTGAGTGTATACTATGGAGATGCATCTGTAGCAGTATTTACTTCTACAGAAAAGCGCCTGTAATAGTAAACTCATGTTTTAAAAGTTGACAAGCGCTGTAGAGTAGTCATTTACCAGCAAGAAGTAGTTCTTCCAGACTAACAGATATATGGCTAATATACCCATTATATGTATAAGAGGTGTGTTGTGCTCCTACTGTGTATGTGTTATGGTAGCATGTTACCAAAGGAGGACAAGAGAAGTATGGAATGTGAATGTGATCTCAGGATATTGCAAAGCTAAAATATTTTCAGGAAACTGATTGTTTAGTCATAGACATATGAAAAATTTAACATACATACAAACCATGCATATTAAAGAAGTTTAAAGTAGCTCTTCAAAGGTTGGTGTCAACCTATTTCATGCATTTGTTCTGACAAAAATACTGGTTATTGCAGACATCAGTAGGAATTTCACTGTGGTCAAGCTGTAGAGCCCGTAGGTGTGTATAGTGTTTCTTTTCAGAAGGTTAATTGTTTTCCAGAGTACCAGTGGAAGATAAAGCTTGAGTGGTATTTGAAGCTTGTAATTTGTGGCCTACCAAAAGCTTCTATTCTCTGGGATGTATGGAAATTCAGCATTTTTTTCTCAGCTAGAAATCACTTTATTTTTTGCCATATTTAGGCATTTCATGCATGAATAGTTGCATAGCAGAGTTTATGTGAATCATGAGGCAGAATTGTGTGAATTTAATTTGTCTTTTCTGTGAGTAACCTGAACTAGAACAAGATGAAATCTGAGCATGTCAAAAAAACATTTTTTTGCTTTTTTAAAGGATTACAAAATTATAGTTATAATCTTATTTATTAAAAACCCTGCTTTCAGTTATATACAGCATATGTTACTTCATACATCAGTTTAATGCACATCATAACTTTGTAAAGAAGTGATGAGGTAAAGAGAGAAAAGATGTGTGAGCAAAAATACCTAGTGTCTTGCAGACTTACTAAAAGATGTACTGAGTTTCCAGGAGCTTTTGCTTTCCCTTGTACATGCATTCGTTAGCCTACATTTTTCATGATTGTCTCTGTTTTGAAGGGCATGTTGTAACAATCTTTTAGAAATTTATCACAGAAGAATATTAGAATTATACCAGTCCATGTATCATAGTTGTTACGAAACTCTAAATATAGATTAATAAATCTGTATAATGATTTGACATCAATATTATTGTGAAATATGGCAAATAACTGTTTGTGGCTACGGATAACTTCTTTATGTAACTTTTATCTAATGGTTAAGAATATTAAATAGCTTATATATTGGTATCCCTCATTTGCCTGCAAAGTTGGGTAGTCAGTTTATATCCAGCTGTTTCTGATCACAGAGCCTATACAGCAGGTAATGACTGCGTCTGGTGCAAAATATTGTCACAGTTATAGAGAGCAGTATAACACATTGGCTATACAGCATGTTATATCCATAGAAAATCTAGATTAGTTTACTTGTGCAGCTACTTCATTTTGGTTAAAAAAACAACAACTAAAAACATCTAAAATGCTTGAATCAGATATGAATTCTAATTTATAGGAACGGATTGTTAAAATGCTCAGAGTGAAGAGGAAAGACTGGACTTATCACAACAGTAAATTCAAGTTATACGTACTAATTTTATTAATGCAAATTAGCAAAGATTAAATTAGAATAATCACACTACTGTACATATACCAGCTACCTAGTTCAAAGGATATGATTTCCTGCGTCAAGTAATTGCTCATAATAATAATAAAACTCTTACTGTACAGTTTGTAAATTGAGAATATTTATACATAATATAACATTTAAAAATATTTAAGTGTTGTGGCAGTATTTTTAGCATCCAAATTTAATTTACAGGGCATAAAAACCAGAAAATCTCTCTACAGTCTATCTCACACGTCAATTCTAACAGGCAAAATATAACAGCTTTTAGTATAAAGAGGGGTTCTGAATTTTATGTCACTTTCCTTTTTCTTCAGCTTTTATTTTCCTGGAATGATTCTTAGAAACACAATATACAAGCCCTCACATTTTAGCAATAAATGTACAATATCTTACATTCCTTATTATTTCTGAAAAGATAATTCCAGGTAATAAAAGTATAGCTTTACGTGTTTTTTTTTTTTTTTTTTTTTTTTTTTTTTTAGAACAGAACGAGAAAGCTAGCCAAGGGAAAAATTATTTCAGTGGAATGTGTTGGGGTTAGGTCTTATCATCATAACAACTTTCTTCAGTGAGTATGATCCCCCCCGGAATTCAGCCCAGTAAACGCCATCCTGATAACGACTGCGGTAGTGTCCGCCGCGATACCAAACTCCATTGAGATTTGAATGAGCACATGCGTTGTACCACCATCCTCCCTTTTGGTAATGAGCACAATTACCTGTAAAAGAGAGCTCAATTTCAGTCTCAGAAACAAAAATCTTATAGCAAGCAAAAATGCTCAACGAAAATTGCATTTTTTTTAAACTATGTATTTATTAATGTGTAAACTGTGCGGTGTGTGCAAGGTGAACTGAGCCTTCATCAAGAAGGGTCCATGTTCTGCAGACAGACTCACTAGTGTTGCTCTCCTTCACTGGAAAATCTGTTGCATTATTGTCTCAAATAACCCTCATAGTATTTTTTACAGACCCTTGTTTAATGTAATTTAATACATATACAATGATGTTTCTGTGAGAATTTTTAATTAAATTAGTATGTATAGGAGTTGGTTAACACATCAGTTTGTCAGTTTCTGCTTCGTAAGTTAAATTCTCATTTTAAAAGTTGCCAGTTAAGTTTTATCTTTTGTGTACAGCCACAGTTTATTATACAGGAGACCAAAAGAGGCCTTGTTACCTGTGTATACATCATGGTCCCGGTCCAATGTGGTGAACTGTTTACCATTGTGCCAAGTGAAAGAGTCTCCTGCATTGCCATTGTAGCGTCCCAGTCTCAGCTTGTAATACTCACTTTCTGGCTCCAGTCTGAAGCTAGCATACTCAGCAAATACTTTTCGACCTGACCAGTCTTCCATTGTTATGAGCAGTTTGTAGTTGCCTTGATTTGTTAACCAATAAATATTTTCTAGGCCAAGCCAATATTCTCCATCTATATTACCAAATCCTTGCTACAAAGGAAGCAAGAGAAGCATGTTAGTACTGTGTCTGCTTTATTGGTAGATCTGAATGTATTCTTAAGTAGATAGCAAGCTCCTTTTTAAGTAAGCTGTCAGCCAGACTTTAAACCCATCTGTTAAGTTACTTTACCAGTAACTTTTAGAGGGTAGAAGACATTAAACTTCTCACTTGTCCTAACCTTGTATGTCTCCCAATTTCTGAAAAAGTTGACAGAACCATCCAGCCGCCTTTGAATGA